CTCCTGGGAGGCGGCCCCAGGCCTCGAGAAGCAGCCTGACGGCGGCGTTTGTCTCTGAGAAGACGGCACACGCCGTCACCCTGAGCTTTGCTGGGGCTGTCAGGGCGCCATGACCCCCTCGGGCCTGCTGCCTTAATGAGCGAGGACTGTGCGAGGGGACACGGTGGGCAGCTGCTGCTCACCCGGCACTGGACCACAGGCCTTGCGCCGTGGGGAGCTCGCCTGCTCGTCTCGGGGTCCAGACGCCAGACCCCAGCCGCGTCTGGACGTGGGGGTGGCCGGCCCGGCTCCGGGCACCAGCTCTGCGCTCACCACGCCCCACGTGGCGCCCTGGGCCGCCACCGGACCCGGCTCACCTGCACAGGGGCTGGCCGCGAAGCCCACCCTCTTCCGGGCTCTGTCGAAGACCACGTAGAAGCCCTCCATCACCGTGGCGCCGATCACCAGCGCGTTGGCCGAGGGCGAGATGCCGAAGCGGTAGCACCCGTAGCTCAGGCTGGCCACCATCACCGGCTGGATGTAGAGCTGCGTGTGGGCACGAGCGGGGAGCGATCAGGGCGGCCGGCCGAGGCCGGGGAGGACCTCATCCAGAGCCAGGCCGGCCAGTGGCCATGCTGGTGCTGCTCGGGGATGCGGCTGAGAGGAGGGAGGCGTGTGCGGCGCATGAGGCGCGTGGATGTGCGTGGAGGCACTAAAGGTGCGTGGAGGCGCGTGGAAGTGCGTGGAGGTGCGTGGAGGCACGTGGATGTGCGTGGAGGCGCCTGGAGGCGTGTGGAAGTGCGTAGAGGTGCGTGGAGGCGCATGGATGTGCGTGGAGGCACGTGGAGGCGCGTGGAAGTGTGTGGAAGTGTGTGGAGGTGCGTGGAGGTGCGTGGAGGCATGTGGAAGTGCGTGGAGGTGCGTGGAGGTACGTGGATGTGTGTGGATGTGCGTGGAGGCGCCTGGAGGCGTGTGGAAGTATGTGGAAGTGCGTGGAGGCGTGTGGAGGCGTGTGGAAGTGCGTGGAGGTGCGTGGAGGTGCGTGGAGGTATGTAGAGGTGCGTGGATGTGTGTGGAGGTGCATGGAGGTGCGTGGAGGT